ACGAACTTTTAAGAACATTGTACCATGGTATTCATACAAAGAGGAAAAGAGGAGTATAAAAAAGCCCTCTAGCCTTTGCTAGGTGGGTCAACCTACAATAAAGTGAAACCTTTAGCCTTGTCACTCAATCGCTGTGTTCAAAGGCTACATGAGAGTTTAAGTTTGAGGAAAATTAGAGGCAGACTACTACTTAGTTTATCAAGTTCTTCTGACAGCTTAAAGCCTACCCAACAGATTTTGCATGTGTGTACTTAGTGGACTGGATAGTAGGGGAATCTGCTCCACCTTTTCATTGTCTTTATGGTCAAGGTGCATTCGCCACAAGACATCAATAGTACAAACGGCATGAAACCAAAACACGAAGACTTAAATATTGAAATGCCAAAGCAAAGCTGAATAGCAGTGGTTTTAAATTGTCCCCAGTGACAATAAAGATAAATTGCTTGATCATTTGACCTTGAGACACTTCATGTCCCTTGACAATAATGCATTTAGCTGTCACACTTTTTCTCAAAGCTTTGTTCTTCCCATTCTCACAATGATTCTAGACTGCCATTTGGAAACCCTTTTTTAGGTGGTAAACAGTGCCATAAGGGACCTTTTTCAAGTTTATCTGCATCAGGAATTTTTTCACGCCCATAATAAAATCAACCCATGACATATTACGGGTCTGGTAAGAGTAAATGGATGCATTTTGTACCTGATAAAAGATTGTTCAGGGTGAAGACAATAGAAGTGATAAAAACTTCGGTTAAAAAAACGGTCCTGTCCATTTCAACAACGCACATCTAGTATTTCCACTGTTAACCTTCTGCTCGTTACAACCCCTGCTCTCTATCTTGCTGAATTAAACAATGTACATTTGGTGGCTGCAAGTAATAGTTTCATTTTAAGTTATGAAATCAGGTGTGGGCAATCCCACAGTTTTCTCACAATAGAATGAAACAATGTAAAGATGGTTACTGTGGGGAATATAACTAAAGCACGATATAGCCAATCACGCGTAATACAACCTATATATTATATATAATACTAGCACCACAGGCCCCCGTGTAGCTCGCCATTGTAGAGCGTAGAGACTCGCCTATCAAGACCCTCTCCACAGAGGTCAGAGGTTTTTATTATTTGACAGTAGGTACTGTAGAGAACAGTAACAGTAGTGATGTGTTTGTAGTAGTAGGTATGTATGTGAATGGCTACATAGGATTAAAATATTGAAAGTACACCGGGTCTATGATTTACAAGGATCTATTGGCAGAAATGGAATATTATATTCATAGATATGTTTTCATATATTTGTATAATGACCAGAAAGAAAAGAATAATTGAATTGTTGTGTTTTTGTTACCTTTGGAATGAGCTGTTTTTATCTACAGAAGGAGTAGGTCCTCTTTCACGGAGCCCGCCACCATGTACCCTATGTTTCTACAGTAGCCCGCACACTGGTTTCTAGATATTGCATTTCATGGCCGCCGTAGTTTCTCCTACACCCTTTGAAGGCTTAAAGGCAATGCTTATGTGAATGACAGAAGCTGCTACCTTTTTAAATTTCAGGACTTTTATTCTGTTAATCTTAGTGGTGGTACATTAGGTGTGACTGGGCCTTGTGAGAAAGTGAAAAGTGGCAAGCTGTGTTGACACCACAGGTGTTACTTATTGGACTATTTTTTCCATTCTATTGAATAGATAGAAAGGTGAGACAGTGCCTCAAACAATTGTTCTGAGTGGAGATTTCCTGTCTAGATGCTGTACTGTTTTTGTACATGCTAATAAAAGATTTTGGGAGAATCATTGCCAATCACATTCTCCCTTTCTATAAAGAGTCTGCACTGTCCTCAGCTACAGTGGAGCCAGCAACTGGCTGGAGTAAGGACAATGTGTGGAGGAAGGGGAGAGATAAGGAAGACAGAGAGGAAAAGAGTGGGGTGGAGAGTGAAGCGAGAGTGTTGTCAGGGGAATAATAGAATGCCTCAGAGGCCCTCATAGACACTGGGCAGCAGGACAGGGGGAGGAAAATGGTGTGGAAGAGAGGAAGAAGAGGTTAAGCCAGTGAGAGAAGCAGAGAGAGAAACAGCAGGGGAGTCGGTGAGAGAAGTGGCAAATACCTTCGGGGTGAATTGCTGATTGCGAGCCAGGCCTACAGAAAAGGGGCTTGTGGTGATGACACACCTTTTGACTAAGCCTTGACTCACCCTCCAATCTTTGTCCCGGTGTGTGAATGTGAAAAGCCTGTTTTGTTCACTGCAGTAGCTTAGTGATAAATCTGACAGTTTAGCTCTATGATTTATACTCTTTATAGCTTATCACGTATCCAGCTCTGTTATCTTTGAGTCCCATTGATCATTAATGTGAAGCAGCCAAAGTACTGCGCTGTTTATTCTGTTGAGACACGTGCGTGAATGAATGTCAGTAAAAGTGTGGTTTTTTTCGTCTGTTGTTGACTATGTTTGCCAAAGGTTGCAGGTTGTCTCCTTGTAGCGTATAAGTGCGGTCACTACTTTTTTGTGTGTCTGTGCTCATAGAGGGTGAAAGGTTCCCACAGGACATGTCCAGCTGCAGCAGAGTGTCGCTTGCAGCCCTTCATCAAGATGAGTGTTTGTTAGCACCAGGCCACAGAGGGATTGGGTGGCTGGATGGATGGCTGAAGAAAGGGCACGCACACCACATTAATTCCCCTTCCCTCTGCCATCTGAGATGCCGTGTGGTACTTCAAAGGTGGAGCAGGGTGGTGTTAATCTAGGGCCTGTAGCAAGCGCTCCACTCTGCTGTGCTGTGCTGTACTCGACTCTCCACTCTTCCCCCTGGCCCTGGCCCCCAGCCTTTTTTTCGAAAGTGTGATCAAAGTGCAGTCTGTCTCTGATGGATGGGCTCACTCTGGCCCAGAGGCTGCCTGACAGGGGACCAGGAAGTGGAAGGGAGCGTGACACAGGATCTCTCGGCATCCTATGCACATGTGCTTGTACACTCAGAGATACAGAGAGATCTTTTTATCCTTTTAATGATCAGAGCTAATGTCTTTGAGTTCTGCAGCTGGATAGCACACATACATACATGTGAACAAGCCATGACAACATGTGCTTGCTTGAGAAACCTTCTCTTTGTTGTCAAAGCTCTGCCTCGCTTGTCTTACGCTAGACATACAATACTGTACAGTACCTACAGTTACTCAAACAAACTTTTCAAGATTTGAGGTAAAACTGCACAATACAAGTTCATAGAAACACTGTTGCTTGCAATAGTGTGAGAGGGTTTATGTTGAATGTTGCTTTTGCATTGTGAGATGACGAATCATGATCTGTCACACTTGTCAGGGTGTGCACAAGCAAAATAGCTGCAATAGTTCATGTAAATCAGTGGTGTCAACTGTTTGTATTGCACAGCCAATATGTCAGCACTCCCTAATTCTAATTTGTTTGCTTTTTTACATTTTTGGTCTTTTTATCTGAATGTATGAAGGCACAGTCAGTTTCTGTCCTACTGTTTAACAGGATTATTATCTCAAGACGTAAAATGTCATCTGGTGTACTCGTGGCCTCACTCTCACATGCGCACACCAATTCCATAACCTCAGGACCAGCTGTTTATGTCTTGTTGTTGAATTCTTCATAAAAATCTGTCAGAATAAGTCTCATTTGTCACTGTGAGCATGTTGATCTGTAGGCTTTTAAATTGGTCATTAGAGTGTGTTCATAAAACCTAATGAACTGTTCCTTCTGAACTTTGTGTCATGAGACGTAGCTGATTTTTATCTCCTGTCATCAAACTTGCTCTCCAGCTTTCTGCGATAGCCTCAGTCAGAGGCAGGAGCAGAGTTTCTTGAATTTTCTCCTTGTGCTCTTTTCTTTTCTAACCTCAAGCAGAAACATTAATCTTGTCCTGTTTTTCAACTTCTTTCTCAACCTCCTGTCTATCTCTCCCCTCCTTCTCCTCCTCTGTTTTTCATCGCGCTGACTTGTTGGCTCCTGGCTTCCGTCGTTCTCCATGGCCGGGAGATGTGTATGCTGACCTTTGGTGACCCCTGAGCTCAACCAGGTTCCTCTAGAGAGGCAGTCTGAGAGGAGACGAGTGAGCGCACAGTAATTAAATGTGCCTCCTCGTCCTTGAGATAATTTTGGACTGGTTTTTTTTTCCCCCTCTTGAACCGGCAGTAGTACTTCTGCGAATGTTTATGAGAGAGAGGAAGAGCGACACAGAGAAAGAGTTTGGGTCTGTTGTTAAAGTGAGAGCAAGGTCCAGGAGGGGTGAAGAGTGGTCAACTGCAGTCAGTCATGTTCTTTCTCCGAAGAGCAACTGGTTGGGCCTGAAGAGGCTGCTTTCCATCCTGCAAAAAAGGGGGCTTTAAGTGAAATGGACACTTGGCTGACGGAGCACTTTGCATTTGCATTTCTGCCCTCTCAGCCTCCTGTTCCCTCTCTCTCCCCTCCTGTTCTACTCCAGAGCCTTTGGGTAGCATTGGGGAGAGCATTGCATGCTGGGAAGCCGTGTGGGGTGCTGTGTCTTGGTTGGTCAGTAGAGGAGAGGAGGGGGGCATGGCTGTGTTGCAGCTCTAGGCCCCTGCTGCCTGCCATCTCTCCTTGGTGCTTTCAGGTCTTTTAGAGTTTGCTCTGCCGGTTACTGCCGCTTCATAAAACCTCAATGGCGGAAACACAATGCCAGGCAGGAGAGGGGTCACGGCTGAACTTGAACCACGGCTCCAGCCAAACAACCACTGGCAAACCAAGAAACCCTAATCAGACAACTTACAAATTCAAACCATCCCTTCTGCTGTCTACCTCTGCCAGCTTACCTTACACTGATACCAACACGTATGCTGAGAACTCACTAATATAGTCTCTTATTGTTTTGATGCGTCATCTCAAGGCTGAGAAATTGCCTTATCCTTTGAAACTCCTTCTAAAATATGTGTAAATATTTGTAAATTTGTACTGATATCTCTGGTCTGTTACGTAATAGTTCTTGCAGAGCTCTTCATGTGTACTCCTTTTTTTGTTTGTGTCCAGGAGCTAGAGAAAGCCCTGTCAGAGCAGGACTTGGACTTCCTCGGGGACCTCATTGCCTGTCTGTTGCAGGGATGCTACCAGCGCAATGACATTACGTAAGTATTTAATGATAAAAAGAAATCTGGCGTATTGGTAAAGATTATTGAAACTTTACTTTTTATTTAGTGATATTCACAACAGATTGATGAGGTTTTACGTAGTAAGCTGGATAGATGCAGACAGACGTTGACCGCTCAAATGAAGTCCAGTCTTATAGAGGTACGCAGAGTTCAGTGTATGCATACCTGAGTTTTGGTGTCACGGTCCGGTTTCCGTAAAGTAAAAAAGGTTTCAACTCTAAATAGTGGCTCATGGGCCCTAATTCCTGATGCATATGATCAGTAAGTAAGATAGATGAAGCAGAATGTATGCATTTTTGTGTTCTCTCCAATAGGACCGGGAATCATTTTACATTTTTTGATAAGATTCCAATATGATACTGATATGATATATTTGATTTGGTTGTAGTAGAGAGAAGAACTCTGTTAGCTTACTTTGAGAAATATGAGCTTTTTTTTCTCTCTACAAAATCTCTTTTTCATGTAACAGAGGGAGCTGAAGTTCTAGATGTTGTCTGAACATATGCAGCCATATAATAACTTTGCTTAAATAATGTGTTTTTAAATTAGGGGCATTTTTATTTTTAAAAATATTCAGTGAAATCAATATTATATAGTATTAAATAGTAGGTGACCAGAGATTCACTTAGACTATGGCTGTACTGCTATCTAAATCTGTTGAATTAAGACCAAGACCTAGGTCTTAACCGTTGGGTCTTAACCTTGTCAGAACTAGAACAGCGGAAGCTTCTCCTGCAATTTTTAAATAAAACATCGGCGGCACAGTGGAAAGAATCAACTAACATTTGTTTGATTTGTAGCTGCCAAGTAAAACCAGTATTTCCAGCTACTTGAAATTAGTCATAGCACCCAGGAGCCTTTTTTATAGGAAGTCTGAGTCACTGCCACAGCTAAGGAGTCAGAATTTACTCACCATACGGTGACTCGGTCTGTGGTGAAATCATGCTCTACTATCGCAATCTATGAAAGCAACATAACCACTGAAACTTTTCTTTCCCCTGTGATCAAATGATGGGAGAAAGTGACTGCGTTATTTAGCGGAGGCTGTTATTCTAATCCACAGATATGTTAAATTTCTTATGGGGCTTCCCCCTGTCACAGACGTCCTACTCTAGCCCATCATTATAAAGTAGCATAGTGGTACCAGTGAACTGATAAGCAGAGAGGCAAGAATGATCCAGTTCTTCCACCCAGGCAACCGGTAACAGGAGGACAACCTGCTTTATTGGACTGGACAGGCGCTGGCATCCTGGGGGTGGCTGCTCAGCACTGGCCTTTCACAGAGCTGCCCTTTTCATCCGCACGTGTTAAACGCTCTGCCGGAGCGGGGGAAAGAAAGGAGGGAGGGAGGGAGGGAGGGAGGATGTTGGAGAGAACGAGGGACAGAAAGTAGGAGAGAGATGGGATAGCGAGGAGGGGGTAGCCTGCAGCTGTGTGAAAAGTGCACACTGCTCTTTCAAGATAAGCCATTTTTTTTTTCTGTCCCTCTTTCTCTGTGCCGTTGCATAGATGCTCACCCCTGCCCCAAGCCCTTGTTCTGTTCATCTGAGTTGGAACAGAAAGGTACAGATTAATCGGCTAGACCTGAACCGGAACCAACATTTATTTACCAGCTCCCTCTCATAGTAGAGATACAACCCCGGTCCCATTCAGAGAAACTAGTCTTATTTTCAGCCGCACCTCCTCTGTCTCACCAGCCACTATGGTAGTTTAAACTTTGTTTGTTTCCTAAGCTGTGCATTACAAAAGAGCTGATATTGAAACTTTAAAATGTACACACAGTGTTTGCAATTGGATTGGTTGCATTTATCTGTACTGACAGATCTCAATGAACCAAAAAAAGCTCCATCTGGTTTGTTTTTTTTAGTACTTGTTATAAGAATCATAACAATTTGATTTGTATTTCAGACATAATTCTGTTGCTTATTACTTCACAATCTAGTAAAAATGTGTAACTGGTCACAACAGTCAGATTAAAGGCCCAGAAGGTTGCAGATTATGACCACCTCGCCTCACCCTCCTGTTCTAAGTATGTAGGAGCAACTACACTCGCTGCAAGAGAGAGGGCCTATCTAGAGCCAGTGTTTGGTATGTCTAAATGTTACACATTGGAATTGTAATGAATCTAACATAAATAAATGTAATTAATCAAAAATATTAGAGTAATTAAGTAATTGCTGACCTGTCCTGGGAATTTAATTCCTGGGGATTATTGTAATCAAATTTTAAGTGTCTTATTTATAAAACCTGAAGAGCACCTTTTTAAAAAAACTTAACAGTGAATGATTCTACCTCAATCTAACTTATCATCAGTTCATCATCAGTTGCAAAACAAACTGAGGAAATGACAGTTCCTTCAAAACAAAACCCACAATAAACCACAAGAAATAAGTCACACGTAGGAAAGACGTGTACCTAGTGCGACCTCACCTCCCCAGCCCCACCAACCTGACATCCTCACAGAGAGGAGGCACTACTTCTTCACAACTTCCCATGCTAGGGAAAAATAGAACAGAATACACATTGACACATACAATGAAGGTGAGACAACCACAACTAAAAAAAACAAAACAAAACTGACAATTGTGATAAATACATCAGCCACAGAAATGTCACCTGCTGGTCCAAAGGTCAAGTAACCTGTAAATATTTGTGTTTTAAGAGGTTTTATCTGTGTTGAAAATGTTTTCATGCTGCTGAAAGTTGCATTGATGCATCTCTGTCTTCTGTTCTTTTGCTCTGCCCTGTAGTCCTGAGGCATTTAGCAGTTACCTGGACGACATCATCAGCTACCGTTGGGAACTGGAAGAAGGGAAGCCCAACCCACTTCGAGAGGGTCCCTTTGAGACTCTCCCCCCTCGCACTCAGGTGGAACTGCTGCACCGGCTGTGCGACTACCGTCTGGATGCTGCTGATGTCTTTGACCTTCTTAAGGTACACAGCCCCAAGGATCAGTCAAAAGAATCTGTACATATTTGTTTTCATGCATGTAATTTGTTCAAATGGTTTTACACTTTATACTGTTATAATTGAACTCAAAGCGATGCAGTTCTTGACAATGATTTCGAGGTTTTGCAAAAACACCAGTGAAGCTACATTAGTTAATGCGTAACCACAGAAATATCACGGTACCTAACCTATAAGTACTGTTTCCCATTAACACTTAACATTTACTACATGAAAAACCTACTACTACTTACTTACTTACTTGCTTTTTGTTATAAAAGCAGTGTGAATGGATAGTGTACTTGTGTGTATACTATGTAATCAGGTTTCTGATTTTAAAATCATGAAGTTTTTTGTACTATGTGAAAGCACCCAAGTGAACACAACTGGTTGATGATCTTTAAAGCACCATAAGAATTTTCATTCCTTTCATAATTTAATAACATTGCTGGATTTTTAACTGTGGCCTGAAAAGAAAACGTAAAAATTTTAATTCTAATTTACACTTACTTTTGAATGGTGGCAGTCTAACTGCATTTACAAATAATGGAGCTCATATTACACCTCTTGACAGTAGCTCAGCGAACATGCTGGTATTAACAGTGAAACTAATAATAACCTGACGTTTACCTGCATGCTGTCAGTTTATAATTTTCCTCTAATATATGATACTGTTTTCTCGTGAGAAAAGGTTTATAAAAATATTTTATCTGATTGAATTTATGATTCAGTAGGTAGAGGTACTGAAACCGCTTCATGTCAGTTTATGATTCACAGCCGTGTAGGCTCAAAGGACTGAATGATATCACCCACTAATGACTGATGATTTAAAAACTGAGTCCTACACATGATTTGATAAATGTTATGTTCCCAACCCACCCCCACCAGGGACTGGATGCCGACAGCCTGAGGGTGGAACCACTGGGGCAAGATGGAAATGGAGCCCTCTACTGGTACTTTTACGGCACTCGTATGTACAAAGAAGAGCCAGTTAAGAGGAAAGCAGATAAAATCTGGTAAATACCACAGTGCACTGCATTCTCTTCTTTCTCTGTTCTGTTTCTGTGTGTATTGAAATGGTAGTTTGACACTCGTTTACTGTACTGTTGAGGGTTAATTATAGAGGTCTGCCTATTGCTAATTACCCATGTTAAAAACCATAATTTAAAAGGTTCTTTTCTACTTTGTGGTGTTTTTCCAACAGTGAACCCACTGAACTAACATTACCAGAGAAAAAGAAAAGGGGAAGACCACCAAAGAAGAGAAAACTTGAGGACCCACAGCTAAGGTGAGAAACATTTTTGTTTGTTGTCAGTGCCAGCCGCCCATTGCAGAGAAATGCTTACATGTGTAGTTGTGCATGTGTTGCACAGATGTACTGGTCATGTCAAAAGAAAATATGTATTCAACTGTCACATCAGATACCGTTGCTGTTTACCATGTGGTCTTCAAAGAGCAGTCATATAAACTGCATGATAGGTTTTTTTCAGAGTCTAATATCCAGAAAGCAAGCTCATAGTCATGGAAAGTTAAAATGAATTGTGGACGTTTGCACTTAGATTAAAGCAATTGCATCTTCTGCTAGTTTTGATCACTCTGTTCTTTGTAGGAATGTTTTGAATCTGTTTTCCAATGTTCTTTTTTTTAACCTTTCAGTGATGTTGAAAGTGAAGTGATAGAAGTGAAGACAGAAAATGAGTTTGAAGATCTCCGACCTAGCACAGGTGAAAAGGGATTCAAATTCCATTTCTGTATATTTGTCTCTACACGTTTTTCCCCTCGAATCAAAAAGCCATTGTCTCTCCTATTATTCTACCAGGCCGTAAGCGAGGCGCCTGGTCTCTTGTGTGTGATACGGAGGAACAATGGGTCAGTCTGGCAGAAAGCATCAAGGACAAAACCTCCCCACAGGACCGCCACCTCTACCGTGTCATCAGCCAGAACTTCCTGCCCGAGATCAGCAGCATGATTGAGCACAAGGTCAGACAGCAAAGAGACACTACTGCTGTCCCCATTATAGCAGTTCATAATATTGTCTTTTAAATAGAGTCTTGGTAGAGTTTGACAGCTACTACCACGAGCAATGTGACTGAAAATCTGCTCAATTACAGCAAATCCAACCATGGACGATGTGCCAGTGTTAACATCTAAAACTGCAAATTGAATTTTTGCTTCATATTCTTGCATATTTAATTGCTTGAGTGTGTTTTTTGTTATAATGGTGGTGGAATGTATCCAGAACTATCTTCTTCTTAATCTTGACCTTATCTTCCGCCCAGTGGTAGAGCACAAAAAACCCTTGTACTTCAGTTAATCCTTATGTATAGGATTTGAAAAAAAAAAAATACATTTCAGCTAACATGTTGGCATGTTAGAGTGCTGAGTAATAATTCTCTGTGGGGTTGTCGCCACAAGCAACCCGGTTCTCCTTACACTCTAGCTGGGCCAGCTGCAGGACAGGTGAGGTGGAGGAAAGCTGGTCTGTGCTTGCCTTTTAATGCTGCACACCAGGTAATGAAGTTTGCCTCAGGCTTTAACTTGAGCCTGACTGCGAAGAACTAATGCTCTCGTGCTCGTTTGGTAGAATGAGGGTACAAGTTCTGCAGTCACCTTCATTGGGCTCGCCCAGTCATCGGGTCATGCTCACTCGTCTATCATATCTTCCTTGGAATGTGTGTGTGTGTGAACTTTAGGGGGAGATTACAGACGAACATTTTTGCCTTGTTCGTAGGAAGCATGAGTCAAAGCCACCAGTTTGCAATGGAATTCGTTTCAGTCTTTGAATGCTACTGTTTGTCAAAGCTAAAGCAGGCCCCTGTTTTCATCATACCTGTTTGATGATGGTTGGACTCTTGTGGTATGTAACCAGGACTGACTGTTGCTATAGAAACCCTTTCAGCCTTTCTCCATCATCATCATCATCATCATCATAATCATCAGCAGCAGCAGTGAAGTAAAGAATCCTGCTGGCTGTTTGATGTTGGCAGAGCGGTCAGTCACCTAACACAAACGGTCAGTGGATGAATGCAGTCTTGTCCTTCAACGACTGTACCCTCCGCTGTACTACTCATACTCACATTATATATGGCATTCAAAAGGACTCTCTAATAATCCATGCAGAATTAGTGAAGCACTCTAGTGGTGAAGTAATGATGCTAGTAAGTAGAGGAACATCTTGGAGACCTTTTCTGTTTGCTCTTGTATTTAATCTGCATTCATTTATGAAAGCACGAAATTCCACTACAGCATGTTACGTAAAGCCGAACAAGACAACTATTTTCACTTCACATAGATATAATCATAGTGTGGGGAAAAAAACGGATTCATTACTCATTATGCTCAAAGAACCGACTCAGTCAAAGGGAAGTACGTTGGCCTAATGTTCTTCTTATATGCAGATAAATTCCACTGATGTCACACAGCAGGGGATGAACATATCCTGTGTATTAATTATTTGTACATTTCATCATCACATTTTACTGTGGTGCTGTGCATAGTCTGCCCTTGATTTGCTGCTTATGACTTATTATTTATTATTATTTATTATTATTATTATTTTGGGCAACCACAAGGGAAACGCTCAAGTCTTTAGATATGGGCTCTACAAAACCTTGGTTTCTTTCTTTTCAATTTGTTATATATAATATGTTATAATTACTAACTACTTTAAACCTCCCACAATCCTCAGAGTGATCTTAAAATTGCTGGTTTTATTTCAGACAATAGTCCGAAACCATCAAGTATACAATGATGTATAAAAAAAGTGGCCACTCTACATTAAATAAGCTAGAATCAGAAAATGTCTGCCATTTTGCCTGATGAATGACTTCAACTATTTAACAGTTATCAAAATTGTGCTCATAGTGTAGCATGTGTATGCTTTACATAAATATATCTGTCTCTGTGTGGGTGTGTGCATACAAGCGTGTCAAATACACAGTGTGTGTAGCCTGCTGAATCCTTCCCTCGATGTGTCTCAGGCTGCTGTCACCCGCCATTTCATGGGGCACTGACAGCAGGCGGGAGCTCACCTTGAGGCAGGATGGAGCCTCTTGAATGACAGCTCTGCTGTGCTGCTGGATTCTCTAGACCTCTCTAAGTGGTGACACCAGAGGCACTCTATCTTGTGCATGCACCATTTGGGGGGGTAGTAATGTAGGGAGGAATTGTGGCGCCCCGGGATATGCCAGTGCTACACACTAAGAAAAGGCAGAGATTGATTGTGGACTGAATATTTGTGGAGGGCACTATAGATCAGATCATGAACATCTGTCTTTTTTCATCCGTCTTCTTTTTTCTTCTATATCACTTTTTTTTCCTCTGCTTCTCACTCACCACCCACATCTTCCTTCCTCTTTTGCCTTCTCACCTGCACAAATACCCATGTCATACCCATGTCTCATACAGCTGCTAATGCATTTTTAGGCCTCCCCTGGTTGTTTTTATGGATGGGCCTGAGTGTGAAACCTCTCAGTGCTGTTGGCTGCACATAGCTCACAGTTATTCGCAGTCTGGCTTCCCTGATGAACTCTGACATGAGCTGCAGAGACCAGTCCTTGATACAGACAGGCTTTCAAGGGATCTGCTTAGAGCTCTCTGTTGGCTGGGGTTTCCCTCCTTTACTGTGTGCTATAACTGGATTACTGATGTGTCACTGATCACTGATGTCATTCAAATGTGGATTGTTAACTGTATATTCAAGAAGTAGTATGCTGAAGGATTGAAAATATTGTGCAAAAAAGTTACAAGGATATGGTATAAACTGGACAGCATTCCTTTACACTACCTCCTCCACTTCTTTTCTCATCATTACAAATGATTAATATAGTCATTTTTTTTGACTAAGCTAGGCTGTCACCCCCAGGGAAAGGTGGGGGAATGCAGGCAGCAGAGGAGAGAGGGTGACTTGGGGGGAAGGGAGAGCAGAGCCAGTGACCTCTCAATACTCACTGCTCCTCCACAACTCCCCAGGGCCTGTCAGTGTGTTGGCTCGTGTGTGGTTGTCTGTCTTTCTGTCTTAAAGACTCAGTCAGTAATTTTTTGGCCATATAAATTATTTAATTATCAGAAAACAAAGAAATTTAGTTGTCTTCTACGGCTCATCAACATTTCTTTTTCTTCAGGAGCGGGAGCAAAAACAGAAACTGCTGGACCCAACCCCAGTTCGCACATCACATCGGTTCTCTGAAAAACACATTAACCAAGAGGAGGAGGTGTGTTGTTGTCTGTGTACATGTTAGGTATACTATTGCAGTAGCTGTGTTTCTGAAAAGACACTCAGACCTCATAAAAAGTCCAGTTTTCAGACAATGATGACTTTCTTTGTATGTTTAAAAATACTTTGTTCCCCAAAATTTTGTTTTTATTTGCTTTTTTAGTTTTAGCTGCTGCAGTACATTCTGGTTCAATGAGGTGTTTGTTTAGCCTCCAGCAGTATTTTTGTATATGGGATATAGCCATCTAGGTTGCTTCTGTACATTACTATTGGGGTTATATGCACAAGATTGATATAGTTAGAAATATCCAACTTTCAGCTTCCACTTATTTATTAAAAGCTGTCTTTTCATGAGTGCAGAGAAGACTAATGGGCTGGTTTGTATGTATTCAGGACAATCTGAAGGCCATAGGAGAGGATGACAAGAAGAAAGATGAAGAGCTGGACAGGCAGGTCCTGCTGGCCGAGCAGCGACGAGAAGAGGAAAGGCTTCTGCAGGAAGAACAACAGAGAGAAAAGATGGAGAAGATCAAAGCTGTGGAGGGTAAGATGGATGGCGACGTAGATGGATGGAACACAAATGGAAAGATGTACAACTTTTGTTCGTGTAAAAAAACTATTTTTCAGATCTAAATAATGTCCCTGTGGTACTGTAGAAAGCTCGCATACTTAAATAAATCTGCTAGTGTATGAAGAAAGGTTACAAAATAAAAGCTTAGTGCCAAAAGTCACACATCATAGAGAAGCAATCATTTCACATTCTTTCATCAGCGACCTGTCAGCAGCAGGTAGGGGGCTTCTATACTCTTATTCTAACTCGGGGATCATGGGCAGAATGGATTGTGAAGGACACCCCACGCACCCCACGCACATGCTTTCACATCTCCATTGCTGTGGTTTGGTTCTTAACGGCTCAAAAATCCGCAGTAGCATAGCAGCACTCGAAGCCTTGTGATTTATGTATAGTACACAGAGACACTGAGAGGGAATGTTCAGGGCTTTTAATCACAGGATCACTTCTCTTTTTCTCCCTCCCTCTGATGTCATCTGTCAAGGGTTAATGAACTGCTGATTGTGCTTCAGTGGAGGAGCCTCATTAATGTATTATAGATGAACAGCAGGACCTGGCCTGCTCTCTGTGTGGATTGCATATGTGGAATCCTCCCTCAAACCTCTTTAATCCACACGGCAGGGGGGCTGGCAGGCCTCTAATGTTAAAAGATAAAGCAGCAATACATATGCAGCCTCTCTGCTCTGTTCTGCTCTTTTGATCAATTGGGCCTAAGAAAAGATGGCTGACGAATCGTTCTCTTTCTACTTATCTGAGCTGCCGCCATCTCTGATGATTTCATTGACTTTCCAGACAGCTTCAATGCGCAGCAAGTGCAACTTAAACTGTAACTCAAGAGCCTGAAAAAGCTATTAAAACATTGTTTGCCTGCAGCCCCATGGGACTGTTTTTTGTGGGGTTTTTTTGTTTGTGCCTCTAATTGCCCCCTGTGTCCATCATTCTCTCTCAGAGCGAGCCAAGAGGCGGAAGATGCGAGAGGAAAAGGCCTGGTTGCTGTCTCAAGGAAAAGACCTGCCACCTGAACTCCTGAATCTGGAGCCGTCCTCTCCCGTCCACAGGACACGCAAGAATAAAGAATTGTAAGAGACTTTGTACATTTGACCTGAGATTTGACTTTCTACTTGAATGACTCAAGGTAGATTATTTGTAACCTGTTGTATGTTCCACATTTCAGCTACGAAATTGATGACGACTACACTGCTCTTTACAAAGGTATGCTTACTGAGAAGTTACTCAAGGCTGCTTTTTCTCAATCTGCATTAATATTTGTTCTAATGTGTGCTCTGATCTGATCTCTCTTCTACAGTGCTTGAAGTCTTGAAAGCCCATAAAGATGCTTGGCCTTTCTTGGAGCCTGTGGATGACTCCTATGCCCCTAATTACCATGAGCTCATCAAGGTACTAAAGACAAGACAATAATAGCTGGCATGTAATAGTAGTTAATGGCATTTGTGTGATATTGTGTTTGTATGTGTGTGGTTCACATTCTACACATTCTTTATTACACCGGGTTTTTAATTGTTTGAATTGTATTGTTCTTCCAATCCCCTCAGACTCCCATGGACCTGTCCACCATTGAAAAGAAGCTCAATGATGGGGACTACGTTGCTAAGGAGGAGTTTGTTGCTGATGTGAAGCTCATGTTTGAAAACTGCGTTGAGTACAATGGAGAAGACAGTGGTAAATTAACACAATTGCACAAACACAACCAAGCTCAAAAACAAAAATGCTGCTTCCTTCATTCAGAATTTGACCCCAGTATAAAACTAATGCATCTAAATTTCGGTTGGTGTATGTTGTGAGAAAAGAAGCACACATATGAAATTTTGGGGTGAGAGTCGGGGTGTGAATGTGGTAGAGAGAGAAAAAGAAAGGGGGCCGGACTTAGTGCTGTGTTGGGGCCGGGGCCAGGGCAGCCTTGACAGTGATTAATGAGGAGTGATTGAGCTGTGCTCTAGTGCTCAGGGGGATCTGAGCCCTGCAGTGCCAGAGAAACATTCCAGCCCCTAAGCTCCCTGTCTGGAGCCATCCATCCAACTGAATACTCTCCCCAGGGATAGGGGGAGGAGAGTGGTAAGGGGGCCCAGGGTGGAGCAGAAGCAGGAGGGAGGAGGCAGGGGTCAACCTACGCCCTCTGACCTGGTCAGTCGGCCAGCGGTGAGGCTGAGAACAGAGAAGCAAGTGTGTGTCTGTGGGTACATGGCATCCACATTGGTCTCAAGTGTTTGAGTGTAAGGAAATGACGGAGAGATGGGGTGAGGTGTTGTTTGTGGGAGGGAGTGACTTGCAGCATGCCAAAAGCTATTATTTGAGAGGACATGAGTGGATGGTGATACCGGTATATGGTGATGTGTGTGGCTGCAAAAGATCTCATCATATGAGCATAACTGATGTTTACATCTGCCTTTCCCCAGAGTACACTATCATGGCAGAGTCTCTCGAACGGTGTTTTAGCCGGGCCATATTAAAACACTTTCCATCAGAGGATGGCGACACAGACGAGGAATTCCACATCAGCAGTGAAGACAAGGAGCGCAAGGACAAAAAACGCAATCGCGGCAGTAGACATTTGGGACCTGAAAGTCTAATCAAGGCCACTGAGCAAGTCCAGCGTAAGCGAAACTTCCAGGGGGGCAAGGGCAGCACACCCTCAGAGGAAGAGGACAGTAGACTAACAAGACCACCTCACTGGGCCAATGGCCCCCCTCACCTCCACTGCCTGCCTCCAAGCCAGCAGCACATCCATCGAGGAGACATCAGGAGCATGTACCACCCCGGGCAACAGGTATCCACAGGATCCTTTTGATTGTTTTTGAAGTTCCTGTACATTTCTAAAAACCTATGCACCAAATTTGTCACTTACCTGCACAATGATATTCTCTTGATTTCTGTCTGAAAAGTAAGAGAAATATATCAATAGTGAATTCTTTGTATTATCTTACCAGCTCCATCGTGCCCCTGGTCTTCACGGTCCTCATGGTCCTCATGGTCCTCACGGTCCTCATGGTCCTCGTGGTCCACACATGTATGCCCAAAGAATGGCCATGGATCCCCGCTTCGCTTACCCAGCTCATATTTCCAGGCATGGAGACCCTGGTTTGAACCGCATGCCCCACAACTTTAACATGCAGGTATACAGACCTAATTACACCTCTCTAAACTTAAAAGAACCACTTTATTGTGTGTGTGGTCTACTGAAATGTAGCCTATAAAATCTGTATCTTAATGCTTTTAAAACAGACTGATGTGCAGGTATACTGATCAAAACCCCTAACTTGACTTTTTCTTTGCAGCATCGCATGGTGGAAGGACATCACATGGGTCCTAGGTATCCAGTGGGCCCAGATCCTAACCAGCAGCATCCTCCACACCAGCAGCAGCACCCCTACATGGGTCCAACTCATGGCCCATCTCTGGGCCCACGTCCCATGGCGCTCCAGCCTGGACCTCCTCCTGAAGCCAGCATGTACCCATCCCACCACCGTCCAGAGGGCCACAACATGCACCCCATGGGCAACAGATTCTCAGGGCCAGAGGGACCACCTCAGCACAACTACCCAGGTTTGAGGCCACCTCATATGGGCCTATCCAACATGTGGACTGGGATGAATCACCAGGAGAGACCCAATGGGATGCGCATGCAAGATCCCAACATGGTAAACCAGCGCAACTTTAGTTATGGTGGAGTCCCCCCTCCAGTGGGGCATAAACCATGGCCAGAAGCTGCTGGATACCCCCATCCGCCTCCAAATGCACAGTATCAAATGTCTGCAGCGATCAGCTCCCCGGGGCCGATGTCCTCATGTCCCCCTGTTCCCCACCCAGACTCCTCCGGCAGGACACGCTTGGCTTCCATGCTAGAAAGCCCAGAGATGCTGGCCCTGCAGCAGCTGTCAGCCTCTTCTGGACCCCCTGCTGGTGCCCCTCATCAGCACATGGGCAACTTTCAGCAGCCTGGGCCCCCATCAGGAATTGGCAGCATCCCAGCTCACCCCTCTCAGCAGCCTCCCCCTGCCCCTGAGGTTCAGCTGCTCCGTCCTGCTAGAGACAATGGGCCAGACACCCAGCCTTCCCAACAGACAGACATGCAGCCCAAAGGTAGACCTGACCTTCTCTCTCAGTATTTCACCAACCGCCTGTATTCTGCATGAAGGAACCCGAGCACAGTCTAACCTTTTTCTACAGATTTGGTCTTTCCAGACTGTAGTGTCTCAAAATGTTAATCAGCACAGCCCCCATCCATGCCCTTCTTCTGTGTCAAGTGCTTTTTGCAATTTGGTTTTAATTATTTTTCACAGTAAGTGGCAAATTGAATATTCATTAGTTTAGTGAAATTTCTTGCTGGTTGCTTTGAGGATACAAAAGAGATGACATGTCAGTTAAGCCTCACCAGAAAGCTTATAAATGTTTTTGGATTAATTTTAAAGGTATAGAGCAGGACATGGGTACATTTTTAATTTGATCTGTTTGGACAAAATGGCACAGATATTCTTTATTGCCTTGTGTATTTGATCTTTCTCATATTCTTTGACATAGTTAACAACATAAGGCTATAATATATTCATGAACCTTGTTCTTGTAATAATAGTTAACCAATCATCAGTGCTAACCTCCCATCCATTATTCTTTTAATGCTAACTTTCCTTTCATTATCCTGTATGTTAACAGACTCAACATCAGAGAAAATGGCTGCCAAGAACATTTCCGATGAAGCTTCATCACACAAAAACACTGTTTCAATTCACCAAGAGCACCAGGCCATCCTTAGCCCCACCACAGGATACCATACTGTGCCAGCAGGGGGAATGCAGAGCCCCCCAGCCCCTAACTCGGGCAGATCACAGGAGAATCCTTCTGGACCAGGGCTCCCGCAGAGTTCAATTGAGAGCCACAAGCAGGAGGTAGATAGCCAAAGACTATCTGCCAGCCACTGTCCCCCACAACACATTAGTGCCACTACTGTTTCATCCCATCTCAACACGAGTAACAACAGCTCCACTGATCCCACTCCACCAAACCGCTCTCAGAATACACAGAACAGTCCACAGCAAAAAGCTCTGAGCCCCACACTTCTTCACCAGAACGTACCCCCAATGCATGGTGCAGCGTCTCAAAATTCCCCTCAGCAAATGCCAGAAAACAACTTGCCGCACATGCAGAATGCACATCAGCAGAGTGAACACCAGCAGAACATCCAAAAACAGCAGCAACCTCAGGCAACCCAGAGTACCCCTCCTCAATGCCACCCTCAGAGCTCTCCCCAGCAGATGACCCAGAACACACAGCAACACAATTCTCTGCTACCTCCTCATCATGTCCCCCAAAACGTCTCTCCACAACGTCCTACGCAGAACAGCTCTATGCATGGCATGCCACAGAGTGCCACACAAGGAGCCCCGGCTGGACCCCCTCAGCCAGCCCCACTTACGTCTTTGCCACCCAGTCATCCTACCCCACTATTACCCTCCCACCCTAGCCCAGCAGAACATGGAGATCAAAGACCTAGTGAGCCTACAAGTAGACTGGACACAGAAAGCACTGCCGTTCCTCCACAGCACACCGCAATGAAATCTGGGCCTCCAAATGGCATTTATAAATACCAGGCTTTTAGCCCCAATCACAATCAAACCCTGCTGGTAGGTAGTAACCCAGGTATGCAGGCTGAGCGTGGCCCAGCACCTGCTCACAATCCAGCCATGCCTCCACAGTCCCAAGGCCAGACAAATGGAGCCATGGGTCCATTTGGCATGGGGAACCATCCACACTACAGCCAGACAAACATGAGCAGGCCCATGCCCCCGTCTGCTCACCACCCTTATCACAACCAGGCCATTAACCCCCTCCACAATCCTGCTCACCACCCGGCCTACCACCAGCAGGGAGGGGCCACCTACTCCTACCACATGACAGGCCAACAACACCCTCAGGCCCACCCCAACATGTACCCGCCTCGTGAGTACCAGCAGCAACACTACTACCCCCAACTCCACTCCCAAGCTCAGGCCCATAACCAGGCCAACAGTAGAGGGAGTTATCCTCCAGAGCAGTGGCATCGGCCTCATTATCAGCCTCGCCAGCCCATGCCCCCCAGTGCCTATCTACCTGTGGCTAGTGCCAGAGGCAATGGTCAGTTGAGGGAGAGCAGTGTGTCACCACTGGGCTCTGAGGGCTCCAGCGGTGCTAGTTTGGTGTCGCCTGGCCCTGTGCCTGAAGTGGGGCAGCACCTCGGAGGCTCAGAGGAGGGGAAGTGTGAAAACAGGGAGCAGGCCAGTGGAGGCGGCAGTGGTAGCCCAGCAAAGCAGGTTCATACAGAGAGCTCAGAGCGACCTGAAAGCCCTAAAGAAATTCTGGACCTCGACAGCCATAATGCTTCTGCCCGCCGCCGCAGTACCCAGCCACCTCAACAACGCCATCTTGCATCTGCTGCACACGTGATGTCTGGCTTCATGTACGACCCTCGTGCCGTGCACCCTGGGATGCAGCAGGGCGGCGTTCCTCCACCCCACATGATGTCTCAGACCCGTGGAGGTGGCAACGGAGCCCCTTACCCTGGCCAGCCATACCCCGATCCAGGACGCTATGCCGCCCAAAGACCTCACCCACACCTGATGGAGGCTCTGCAGCGGCCCCAGCAGCTGCCCTACTCCCCGGGTCAGACACGCATGGCCATGTACAGACACCCTCGGCCTGCGGGGCACTTCCAGGGCATGATGATTCAGCAGAGAGGCCTTGCACCAGAACACTTCCTACACCCAGGGTAAAACCATTCATCCAGTCTTGTGTAGTTTACAGTTGGAACCTTATATTATTCTAAATATTCTATACTGTAGTCTAATGTCTGAGTGAAGGGACACCAGAACATTGTTGTGAAAGTTAGGCTTGCAGTAATTTACAAAATCTAATTTGAATGTAAAAAGATGGGTTGTGGCAAAAAGATTGGCTAGCCACACGTTAAACCTTTTGCACTGCCACATTCATCACCACTGCCCTACACTGTGACCTGCAGTTATCATGTGATTGAATTATTTGTATTTTCTTTGTGCCACAAGTTTCTTCTTTGTCCGATATAGTGTTGATGTGATTGACAAGTCATTTATCGAGCAAAAATACTAAACAGTTCCAGTTTCTTAAATATGAGCATTGATATCGTTTCTCTGCCTTTTGACTTTAGTGTAATTCAGAACAAACAATTTGAAGAAGTTGCATTTTCTGTCATTTTATTGACCAAATAATCGATAATTGATCATAATTGACCGATTAATCAGTTAAAAAAAATAAATGACAGGTTAACTTATAATGAAAATAATTGTTGTTCTCAGAGTCAAAGTGATTTGGAATTTAGTTTGGAGTAAACTGATGGCCCGACGATGGCAAGCTGACCTTTTTAAGTGTGAACAAAAATGTTAACGACATTCATTGTTGTTGTTTTTTTGGTTGTGGTCACAGGCAACAGATGATGACTGCTCCAGGCGGCCCTAGCAATAAACAAGGAGTGTGAAACGTACCATATCAGAGTGAGTAAAAATAACTTCTAACACATTACACCATGCTCAAACTTTGTCTCACAGCTCTTTGCAATTTCTTTTTTTCTTCTATAAATATAAACACAGTGCCTTAGGTATCTATTCTTAAGAACATGCTGCAAAAAGGCATTCATACATCTCCATAAGGACCAAAACACAGAAATTATAGCGCAACGCAGTCAAGCTACATACATGTAGCCTGTCAGTCCTAAATGTGGTCAAATTGTAGATGTTCAACTAATTGTTCTTTTTATCCTTTCAGGCATGTTATCAAAGAACATCTGGACAAAGCAGTGAGCCAAAAGGAAGAATATGTGGGCATGCTGACTGGGCTGACAGAGACTGTAGAAGGGATCATTTGCTCCACAAACATCTTTTGCTGATATTCATACACTGGAAAAAAAACAAAAAAACTTTTGGCTCAGTTTTGCTGATCGCTGGACGTGAAGATACAACCAGGCAGCTGGTATTACTAAGATAATAATGTGAAATGTTAATGAGCCCTGGAGAGTAATTCTCTTTTTCGCTTGCCCTTCTTCACATAGAGCTCAGGGTCAGTTAAAGAACAGCTCTGGGGAACTGGTAGGGATTCACTGACCTGCTCAAGGACACCTCACCAGAGTGGTTGCTCCCTAACATGTTGTTTGAGTATTTGAACCAGGGTCCTCTTGCAGAAGGGCAGCCTGTCGAACCACTAGGCCACCCTGCTGAACACGGGGGACACTGCCTTCAAGAACACTGGACAGCACTCTCCTCTCTGAGCCATCAAAATATGAAAGGATGTAAGGCGACTGAACACAGCCTGCCAATCTTGTCCATTGACTGTGGTGCTCGATGGAGCTGTTAAATCTCCGGACAGAACCGAGGAGGACTGTGATGAAGACGAGAGGGACTGTTGTTTTTACTGCTATTTTCTGTTCCAACTGTATCTTTAAACTCAGGTGTAGAAAAGGAGGTACTATGAGACTGTCACCCTATCCCAGTCAACGCACAGGCCCCTTGCAATTGCCTTGGTTTCCTTTTGTGAATGTATGAGTGAATGTGTAGATAAGGTATGTCCAGCACATTAGCTGCAAGTGAAGGGACACAAACACTGATAATTTGTCTGAAGCATAAACCGTCCTGAAAAAGGCCCAGTCACTGTCCCTTTTCCACCCCAACTCTTAACGCTGTTTCTCCAGCTCTGGAGTGAACACGCAGTATATGCATCTTTCAAAGCGGCCTTCATCGTTAAGAATGTCTTTGACTAGCAGAGAGGGACTGTCAAAGATGGCACTATGTGTGTCCGACTGTACCCAACTCTCTGTTATGCACTATGGATTTTGTTAGTCTTTGACATCCTGGAATTGAGTGGCCTTGGATAGTCTTATTTTTAGTCAAACACATATATGTATGAGAATATATCCTTACCTCTTGTCCCAGATGAGGGGATTCTAAAATTGCCAGACGGCGACATTGTCCTTCTGGCTGATATATGCACATACACGGAACAAACGCAAATCCTGCGGTTGTTTTATTTCTTTCTTCAGTGTGACGTTTGCTGCATTCCACCTACAAGATTGTAGCGTTATTTCTTTGTTCATTCACAGCTCCGCCCTTTGCATGGTCGCATCTTTGAGTGCTTCCTCTCCCCCCACGTCAATACTAAACGTTTCCTCAGGGTGTACAGTTTCTATATACGGGTATTTTTCTGCATTGTTTGAAGGAGGAGCAGCATAAAGGAATATGGGACTGCAACTGTGGCAAATCAATCCACCTCATGTGAAGAACTTAAAACTTGTAAAGGGTCTGTATTCTTTGTCCTTAACAATATTTGGCTGAGCACACTGCCAACCTATTGGACTTTTTTCCCCCAAAAAAACTTTTTTCATTTTCATCAAAGTTAATTAGAGCTGAGATGGATCCTATTTGAGTTCTACATTCCTGTTGATCTGATAATACTGTTTGTCATCACAATTAAGATCACAATCTACCTCATCTAGCCAATCGGTGGCATCTACAGAGTCCCTCCACTTCCTCTCCTGCTCTGCCAGACTCCCGTGGGTCAACATTTTATGACCAGCTTATGATTTCAGCACCGGTTTTAGATTTTAGGCTGACGGAACTAATGATAAAATGGCCTTACGATACCATACCATCTTGGAAGTAAATTGCATGCGTCGGGTTGCCGTGTCAAATGATGGTGCTGACTGACTGCTGACATGTAATTATTCAGCTGTCAGTCTGACATTGACAGATGTTCTGTAGCAATCCTTGAAAGTGTACACTATGGTTTTAATGGGACAGCACTTTCATTCTCACTTTTTTTTTTTTTTATGTCATCATTTGAGTATGATGGACATTATTACATCATATGTCTGACGCAGGACTCTGTAAGTGGGTCTCTTTAGTTGTACAGATTGCATGCCTTCCTGCCTACAGGCTGTTGAAACTAGACGAGGTTAGGCAGTATTCCAGTCTAGGGTCTGTAATAGACCGCATAGAGTTTGGCGGCATTATGGGGAAGTTCCTTAGTAATAGGTACCTAAAGGCATTGTAAGGAAATATTTAAGGAAAGGAGATTGAGTAGGAAAGTGCTAGAAGCTGTGAGACAATTATCTAAATGTGTCACACAAGGATGACTTGCTATTTTGTTAAAATAGGGAATTGTCCCAATATTTAGTGGGCCTAATAGGGCCACCTCGGAGGTAGTGTGTTCACTCGTGCTGTCTAATGTATGAAGGACAGTGTTTATTTTAAAGGTCTGTGAGGTTGTGATACTGTCCTACGGTGTACAGATGTGGCGTGTGTGTGTCTGTGTGCGTGTGTGTGTGTGTGTGTGTGTGTGTGTGTGTGTACTGGTGTGTAGAATCGGCACCAGATGATCGAAAGTGTGCATTCACCTCTCACTTTTTTCTCTGCTGTCATCTCTCTGCACTAGTGAAAACCATTTAGACTTGATTAAATGTGAATCATATTTATTTGCTCTTTTAAGAATTTTTGTACATTTTTGGACTTGTTTAATATAAATGTGGTGTATGTTTCCTTTTTTTCCCCCTTGATGTCGTTTTGGTTGTTTTTAAGCAGTTGTCTTTTTTACCTCAGTAGCATGGTGGCATTGGAAAAAAAGACCTGTACGTTTCATTTTTAAGTGACGTATACAAGTTCTTATCTGACTGACATAGATTATTTTGGAAATGGAATGGAGTATTTTCTATACTGTACATTTCTTAGAAATAAATAACTTTTCTCGAACAAGAGTCAGTTTTGTCATTATTGTCACTATAACAGCAGATCAGTGTTTTTTTTTCTTCCTGGTTACAGTATTTCTTTAATTAATAGACCCAAAACAAGGCCCTGCCATTCCACAGTAACAGGGTGTGTACTTGTAATCCATTTAAGAAACTGAAAGGCTAAAAGGAATGAAACAAACAAGACAGCCAATGCAAGACAGTGCATTAACCTATTGCAGCGTCTCACACCGTCGTCTTCAATTAGTGCTTATCCTCTTGACGAACACCCTCCACAGATTGTATGCTGCTTCGTCTGACCCTTCTCACGTCTGCAGGAGTCAGTGATGTGACGTCAAGAGTATGAGGAGGCAGCACGGCTTCCTTCAAGGGCTTCCTTGTGAGCTAACAAAGTAATATATTCTTTTGTTCAGGCCTAATGAGGACAAACTTGGCAGTGGAGAAAACCCAGATGAGGCACGTATTAAGGCACTTGTTGAGCCTAAGTAAGCAGGTTGTATTACTAAGAACAAGTGTAAGACTAAACAAATGGCTTAATAGTAAAAATTATGTAGTGAAATGAATGTTGAAATGCTCTTTACCTGTAAGAATCTTATATTTCTGTGGAAAGATAACGGACAATGATGGAAATAAGTGCAGGACTTTATCATTCTGTTCCCTGAAGTAGGTCTGTATTTTATAAATGTATTACAATGATTTCAGTAAAACAAAAAACCTGAAATAAACTTTTTGGTTTCTATGTAAGGGAAATGTTTATCAGGAGGTACCATATCCAATCAGTGCCTTTGTAATACATCTATATTTAAGCAACAGATCCTGCACTTTGTTCTAACTTCAATTTATAGATAAATCATATAAAAACTTCATGAAAACAACCTAGAAGACTGAAAAATGTGGATTTTATTATTAACTGTTGGCAGGGAATAATAAGTAAAGTAACAGAATTAGATTAATGAGTAATAAATTACATTGACACTAGCCCAACACTGGTCCTGTTAGACACATCCCCCCCCTCAACAATTTGGGACATTTCACAAAGTCACATGATCAACAAGAAGGAACACCAGTAGCTTTATTTTGCTCTATTGTCTGTCTTTAAGAATGTCAGTCTCAATGTTCAGTCCTGTTAAATTCTTTCAGATGTTATTGTCTGTGTGCTTTTTAAATTTTTTTTTTCCCCCATGCTAAAAGCAATGATGTAATGTGGCTACATTTAATGTATTTACTAAATAAAATGCTAAAAACTCCAAACAGTGTGGAATCTTCCATTTAGAAACCATGTAAAAAAAATAAATAAATAAACGTATGATTGTCATGCAAAGTGTGCCAAAAGAAAACAACAAAACCAAACCATAAACTTTCTAACTCTCCATACAGAATGCACGCAGATATAAAGGACATTATTCCCTAATCTTTGTCTTGCTGGTCTTTATTTACTATTTATCTCCACACGCCACCAATCACATGGTTAAAGTCTCAACCAATCGTAGCTGAGCGGGGGGGCGGGGCTTAAAGGCACCGTTAAATAACACAGCGAACAACCCCAATCTGTTTTTTTTAATTTTTTTTATTATTGCTGTTTATTTGGCTGGCTTCTTTGTTTTTCGGCTGTTTTTAAGTAAACTATTTCACAAAACCTTTCACGTATTTCAAGCTGACACTGTCCAGCGAGGGTTGCCGCGGTCCGCTGGTTCTGAAAAGCGACCCTGAACCGGACTGTTTACCTCCAAATACCGTCGAGGCAACCAGCTAAGCTAACCCACTGATAACGTTGCAGTGTTTAACATTGATTAGACTCTGCAGCAGCCGACATTAAAGTCAGGTAACGTTGGGGACGACTGTCTGTTTAAAAACAAGATAGGTTAAATATGCTCTTTCTGGAAGTTACACAGTATTTAATTGTTAGTTTTAATGATAACTGTGTTTCTTTTACCCCTTTTTTCCCCCCAAAATTCAAATGGGCTTTATTGGTAAAGCAAGTGTAACAATAAGGTTATAGTTATATATAAAGATAAAGATATAAAATAGGTTTCTTTACAGTTTTATGTTGCATATAGTTGCTGTGTGGAAAGCAGTGTGTCTGTAGTGGGGCAGTTAATCTACCCGGAGGTGTAAACATGGAGGGAATAACTGCTGAGAAACAAACACCTGCTCCCTCTCTCTCTCTCTCTCTCTCTCTCTCTCTCTCTCTCTCTCTCCCTCTCTCTCTCTCTCTGTCTCTCTCTCTCTCTCTCTCCCTCTCTCTCTCTTCCAGCAGGTGTTGGTGGTTGAAGGTTTTATTTTTACCTCAGCCTTGTGCAGAACAACTGTTTTCAGTTCTCGAAAAAACAAGCTTTTTTTTTCTTCTTTACCATGCGAGGTTCAACTTCTTTTCATGTCTCCTGTCAAAAGCCAGCTCCTCACTCTCTCCAGGGAGACCATGGCGGGGTTGCTGCAGCAGCGCCCCCATGCGGCCGTGGCCTGTCTGCTGCTGCTGCTGCTGTGCTACTTGACCGGTGGCCTCTCCATCCCGGACCCCAGGCAGAGAGAGGCCCTCATACAGCTGGAGGCCTCCATGCAGACAGGCGGGCAGATGGTGCTGACAGATGCTGAGCAGCGGCTGGACGCTCTGCTGTTTAAGATGAAGCGGGAGGAGATGGCGATGGCGGACTTTCCTCCCGCCATGCACTTCTTCAAGGCCAGGTCCCTCATCAGGACCAGTCCCATCTTCCAGCTGCTCCAGAAGATGCCTAAAGGTGTGTTCAGTCTCAGTCCTATTCATTTGCCACAGCATTTTAGCTGTCATGGATAGTTAAAAGGACACACTTGTATTTAACAAAATAATCTTGATGCTCTGAAAACTGGATATGTTAGTGCTTTTCTTTCATTTCTTTTTTTTTACGACTGAGCCTTTTATATAAGTTCATAGTTACTTGAGTCATGAGTTAATATGTGAAGGAGTCCTAATGTATGGAACAGGTGCAGGATGTAAACAATTAATAAGACAAGATAAGATGTACTTTTTATTGATCCCCTGTAGGAGAAATTCAAATTAGACACAGCAGCATAGGGGAATTAACAAAATATAATAGAAAATGTGAGACTATAAATGAAAAATACATACACTATATGCAATATGCAGTAAAATGGTGTGCAAAATATTTTGAGCAGCTTTTGACTAAAAAACTAAACTGTACATGTGCAACTTAAAGATAAATCGTTTGTGTGTCGTAGGTTGAAGTTAAACCAGTCTTAGTCAGCGGAGGTTGCATATTGTGCAAATTGCCACAATAGTAAAACTTTAGCATTGATTCCTTTTTCAAAACAAAATATTTTAAAATGGTTGAATTCAGGTATTTAAAGATTTCTCATATGTTCTATTGCAGAAGTAAGAAACCACATTAGTTTCAGCAGTTGTTTTAGCACTAATATTCCTCCTCCGAATGAAGAAGCCAGTACGTTGTATTTTGTTAAGAGATGAAACAATTGGTCCATTAATCAATAAGTTGATGAATTATTGTATAGGATAAACAGTACATTCAGTGTAGCTGAGCCTTTCTAGTGAGCCAACATGCACAATAGCAGCCTGACTCTGTTTGACCTGAATGGAACTGAATCATTAGTAACGCCTGTGTTTACCCTACTGTTTCATGTCAATGTGGCTGCTGTGAAAAAGGTCTATTGACTGGTGCAGGTTTCTTGCTAGTGTGACTCTGATCCACTTTCATAGTGCTGGAAGATAAAACAAATATGATTTCTCTACCATTTAGGTAATATAAGTTTTAATTTAAGGTCCAGTGTAACATTTAGGAGGCTCTATTAGCAGAAATGGAATATAGTATTCATAGGTACATTTTCATTAGTGTATAATTACCTGAATATAGGAATTATTGTGTTTTTGTTACCTTAGAATGAGCTGTTTACATCTACAGACGCTGCAGATCACCTTCCATGGAGTCCGCCGCACTGAACCGCCATGTTTTCTACAGTAGCCCAGAACAGACAAACCAAACACTGTCTCTAGAGTTTCACAGCCACTGTAGTTTCTCCTACATACTTCACAGCCTGTCAAATACAGACGCCAGCTGTGTACACACTGCGCCTTTATTACAGAATCACATTTGTACTAAGTATCCCAGTTCTTTATTTCTTTTCTAATTCTGTAATGCAGGTGGAGCTCTCCATGTCCATGACTTTGCCATGGCTAGCGTGGAGTGGCTCGTGAAGAACGCGACCTATCGGCCCCACTGCTACATGTGCGTCACCGACAACCAGTCCATCAGATTCATCTTCTCGTCCCGATGGCCTAAAGCGCTGCCACATTGCTCTCCCTGGACCCTGCTGGAAACTCTCAGGGCCAAGATGGTCAACACCACAGAGCTAGACAACAGGTGACTGACTCTTGGATGCAGTTAAGACAAAGATTTACATTTTACATTACATTTTTCTGCATTTGTGCGTCTTAGGACAAACTAATTTATCGTACTATAAAATGTACATTTCACATTACCAGTGGTTTTCCTGTTTTAGTGACCTCAAATGTACCTCTACTTTATCATTATGTCCACACAAAGTAAGTACTTGGAGATATCAGGGCTTGTTTACCACTTGACTATAAATCATTGAATAATTACACTGCTACTTGTGTCAGTTACCTGAAACCCACAAAAGAGGAAGTATACATCAGGAAATAATCCCTTAAAAAAAATGATGCCAAACAGACTTTATTGTTATATTAGTATCTATTTAGAACAACGTTGGCCAGGCTGGCAGTTTAATCTGGAGCTAGGTTTGAAAGGATACAGTTTGTATTTAAAGGTCCCATCAAATTATATCATTACATTACTCAGTACTGATGTATTACCTTTTGAAACATAATGTTGTAGCAGGATATCAAAAAGTCTTTTTTAAAATCTGTAGTATAGGATTTAGTGGCATCTACCGCTAATTGCAACACCCTCGCCTCAGCCTCCTGCTCTAAGCAAACTTGCAAAAAATGTCCCTTATAGAGTCATTTATAGCCGTTCT